CCGAATAAGAGTACTGCATATCATGCCGTGCACTGGGTCCTGGTGTCGATGCCCTGTCTGTATCCTGTCTCACGTCTGTGACTCTCAGATGGATCGCCTGTTGGAATAAAAAGCCTACGAGATCGAAACCTTTCTCCTACCCTCTTTGTTTGCCCTTGTGGCTAGGAAGGGCTTTGTTTTTAGTAACGAATTCAACAAACAGCTGGGAGCGGGATCTTTTGTGCTTTGTCATTCTACTGACATCTCCTGCCTCTCGTCTCTCTACTTGAGAAAATGTGGTTTATTGACACTTTTCCTGCATTACCGTCGGTGTCTTTTACCTTCTCATAAATGTACAGTAAAATGGGATTTCCTATCTCTGCCAGATCGCAGGCGAGTTGTACTTATGAATGTGAAAATCTGTTGAGGAAAACCAGAGGCTAGTAACTTCGCCAATTGTAGACGGGGCGTGCATCTTTCAGCCTACAGCTGGGCAAAGGCAAAAGCAATGGTTGACTTATGGGTTCTTTACATCTAAGGCTGAACATTTGACGAGTGCTCCGAACATAGCTAACTGCCTGTGGTTAGACACACTGGGAGAAAAATCATGATAAATGCTCAATAAAATTGTATATTCGGATTATAAAAATGTAAGATGGTCTTCTTGGCGGTACTTGGTCAAGGTTTACAGAGGGGCTTTGTTGTTGTTGTTTTTTTTATAAAGGATGTTAGCTGGAATCCAACGTGGGAAAAAATCTTTTATCCAACACAGTGTAGTTGGTTGGTCCTGACAGGCATGATTAAAGCAGCCTGCTTCCGAAAAGACTAAAGTACGTGTATATCAAAGGCTCTGACCATTACCAAAAATATGGCCCACTTGATACATGACAATGTCGTACAACGCAGGAATTCATACTTTCAAATTCAGCAGAGCAATAGCCAGTCCATCAAAAAAAAAGTCGAAAGACAAATTATAAGGAATCATGTTACATGTAGCTTGTTAATTTCCCATAATAGAAGCAGTTTTTTACCTCTCCCATTTTATTTTGTGCTTGTATCCTGTGCTTTTATTTGTATTTACAATGCTATGTGTGTAAGAGAGAAAAGGAGAGAGAGAGAGGGGGAAGAGAGAGAGAAAGAGAGAGAGAGAGAGAGAGAGAGAGAGAGAGAGAGAGAGAGAGAGAGAGAGAGATCGAAATGAGTTAAGGAGGAAAATAGAAACAGAAAGTGTGCCCGGGGGGGTGGGGGTGGAGGTGGGGAAGGAGGTGGTAGGTTGTTAACAATTAATAGTAGTACGAAAAAAACAGAAGAGATTACTAAAGAAATTGCGGATTACATGACACAGCTTAGCTTTGATGAGATGTAATGAGATGATGAGCATGCTTCCCCGGTGTGCTCTCTCTGTGCTTCCAACACCTGGGATATTTCGGCCCGCCAGAGGCACAGAGTATCACACAGGGGTCTAATTACCTGTGTTCACTATCCTGGTCTTCTGGAAGGAGCCGTAGACGAGAAGGCCTTTTTCTTTTTCTAATCTATACGTCCGCGGGCATACAAATAACGGAAAGGCTCACCCGTTTGTCAGCAGCTGGGAACATCAGTCTAAAATGTGGAATACAGTCACTCCTGAAACTTAGAAAATAGTAACAAAATTTCTAGATTGTGGCTTTCCAGATTTTTACGTAATATTTAATTGAATATATGTGTCATAAGCTTAACGATATAGGTTTTCCATTTTACCCTAATTTGTGGAAGATCTAAAAGAACAATTGCAAGCAATAAAGGCTAGCATTATCCTAGCGTTGAGGTGCGTCCTCCGTTTCTCAATTACACCTTACAAAATAAGAGAAAGAGTTAGCAAAGGAATACGATGTAGTGACATTTTTCATTTTGGCCACAAAATGAAATGCTTTAGATATTTTGATACCTAATATCAGCACATATATTGTCGTTTTATCGAGGACGTCACTGTAAGAGATATATGTCACCTCGAACAGTTATTAGAGCATTGCTCCAAAATTATGAAAATCTGAAATTCTGGTTTACTGTCTCCCTGACTAATGAAATAGCAACAATATTTTTAGGTCATGAACTCTCTGTTCACTTGCACTCTACACTGTGTTAACACATGTACTGCCATTAATTAATTCTGATTTGCAGCTTTTGTAATATCGTCAAGGGCACATCACAAGCTGATATATCCTTGTCAATCATTGTCCTCAGTGTTGGGGTCACTACAGTCGGAACATGTCCATCTCTGCTCTCCCCCCCCCCCATTCAGGAACCACCCCAGACTATATATGCTTACAGTCTCCATCATAATCTGGTTTGATATCCCTCGGACTGGTCAACACAGGTGGCTGTGTTTCCCTTCTCCTCTTTGGGTCCCCTTCTCCGTCAATCTGCCTAGGGTGTGGGAACCGCTATCTGCCCTATTCTTCCTCAAATTTTCCCCTACAGCTTTTAGGAAGGTTGGTCCAGTGTCAAATTCCCTCCCACTTTTACTTCTCCAGCCAGCTTGTCTGCTCTCTCGTTACGGGTTACCTCTACATGGCCCACGCAGAAGATCCAGGCCACTCTTTCCAGGCTGCTCTCCCTGATTGTAGCCTTCCAGTCCGCATACAGCATCCCTTTCTGTGCCTTCAATAGTGTGCTCTTAGAGTCAGTAATGATTACTGCTCGTTGATGGCTTGTGTTCTTGATCCAGTGTAGAGCCTCACTTGTGGCTTTTATCTCCATACACATACTGGATGTTATCTGCGCAATTTCTTCGCTTTGCTCTTTCACAACTACCCCTTCAACTCTGACACGGAAGGCCCAGCCCGATTTGACTCCTCTGTAGATTGATTCATCCGTGAAGATCACGGCATCTCCATGCTCGCTATGCTCTTCTATCAGGGTCTCAATTTCAGCGTTTATAGCTCCAAGTGGCCAGTTGCGACATTCTTTGTGTACTCTCCGAGCGCATCTTCGGCCACGACCCAATCCCTGCCTCTCCTGATGTCTTGTATCTGGCAGCACTCGATGATGTTCGTGGCTTGAGTTGTCTCGAGCTGATCCTACGTGTATCTTTTACTAACTTTAACTCTCTGGTTTTGACGTAAATCACTTTGGAAGCCGCGGGTTTCATTCTCGAAAACGAAAGTTAGTACAAAATGAAACTGACTTTCTACTGTAATCATTTTTGGGCTCAGAGGAAAGATTTTTCAAAATCTCCCATAGGTCAGAATATTATTTGGAGTCAGTACGAGATAGTGCCCAGCTCCCGACATATTAACGTGGTACATAATCATGCTAGAGGTTAACTTCTACTTTTACTACAGAATGCTACGAGGGGGGGGCACAAATGCATTGTGTGGATCCTTACTTTAGGAGGTCATTTTGACTCATGCTAGACAAGAACGTGAATGATCTTAGGTCGAGTCACTATAAGGATATATCACCTCATTTGTCCCCCCCCCCCCCCCCCGAATAAGAGTACTGCATATCATGCCGTGCACTGTGTCCTGTTGTCGATGCCCTGTCTGTATCCTGTCTCACGTCTGTGACTCTCAGATGGATCGCCTGTTGGAATAAAAAGCCTACGAGATCGAAACCTTTCTCCTACCCTCTTTGTTTGCCCTTGTGGCTAGGAAGGGCTTTGTTTTTAGTAACGAATTCAACAAACAGCTGGGAGCGGGATCTTTTGTGCTTTGTCATTCTACTGACATCTCCTGCCTCTCGTCTCTCTACTTGAGAAAATGTGGTTTATTGACACTTTTCCTGCATTACCGTCGGTGTCTTTTACCTTCTCATAAATGTACAGTAAAATGGGATTTCCTATCTCTGCCAGATCGCAGGCGAGTTGTACTTATGAATGTGAAAATCTGTTGAGGAAAACCAGAGGCTAGTAACTTCGCCAATTGTAGACGGGGCGTGCATCTTTCAGCCTACAGCTGGGCAAAGGCAAAAGCAATGGTTGACTTATGGGTTCTTTACATCTAAGGCTGAACATTTGACGAGTGCTCCGAACATAGCTAACTGCCTGTGGTTAGACACACTGGGAGAAAAATCATGATAAATGCTCAATAAAATTGTATATTCGGATTATAAAAATGTAAGATGGTCTTCTTGGCGGTACTTGGTCAAGGTTTACAGAGGGGCTTGGTGGTTGTTGTTTTTTTTATAAAGGATGTTAGCTGGAATCCAACGTGGGAAAAAATCTTTTATCCAACACAGTGTAGTTGGTTGGTCCTGACAGGCATGATTAAAGCAGCCTGCTTCCGAAAAGACTAAAGTACGTGTATATCAAAGGCTCTGACCATTACCAAAAATATGGCCCACTTTATAGCTGACAATGTCGTACAACGCAGGAATTCATACTTTCAAATTCAGCAGAGCAATAGCCAGTCCATCAAAAAAAAAGTCGAAAGACAAATTATAAGGAATCATGTTACATGTAGCTTGTTAATTTCCCATAATAGAAGCAGTTTTTTACCTCTCCCATTTTATTTTGTGCTTGTATCCTGTGCTTTTATTTGTATTTACAATGCTATGTGTGTAAGGGAGAAAAGGAGCAAGAGAGTGGGGGAAGAGACAGAGAAAGAGAGAGAGAGAGAGAGAGAGAGAGAGAGAGAGAGAGAGAGAGAGAGAGAGAGAGAGACAGAGACAGAGACAGAGACGGAGACAGAGACAGAGAGAAAGAGAAAGAGAGAACGAGAGGTGGGTAGGAGAGAGAGAGAGAGAAATTGTGAGGTGTTGGCATGATGCTGTGTATGCGTGTATAGTTAGTGTCTCAGAAACTGATGAAAACTCACAGGAGTGTTTCAGAGAAGAATCAGTACGATATTTCATTTTACATAAAGTCCGATTAAGACTTTTTCCCCATTTTCTTTGTTCTCACAGCGTGCCGACGTTCAAGGGGTTGCCTGAAGAGACGTTGAGCAAAATCGCCGACGTGTTGGAAGAGGTATGTACATATTATGTATTGCTGCATCTCTGCAACATGTTGTTATCTCTGTATTGCTACTACATCTCTGCTACATGCTCACATATGTCTCTGTGTTGTAACTTCTTTGCTCAAATGTTCTTGTATGTATCTTCATTGCCACTTCTCAGCTATATTTTGTTTGGTCTTTATATCGCTATTTCTCTGCTGCACGTTATGTCTCTGCATTGCTACTTCTCTGCTACACGGTCTCATATATGTCTCTGTAGCTTCTTCCCAGCTACATGTTGTAAGCCTGTGTTTTGTTAAATCTTTGCTACATATTTTTGTGTGTCTATATTGTTACTTTCCAGCTACATGTTGCTATGTCATTGTATTATTACTTCTTTTACTTTTTATGGGGTAGTTATGCAGTTAATTACTATCTAATTTTGTTGTAAACGTGTTTGTCAAAGGATGATAAACGTTAAATTTCCTTTTGTTGTTCCTCTCATAAGGCCCATAGCTCCTGTAATGCAATAGATAGGCCTTTTATATTTTCACACAGAAGAAAAAGAGAATTCTTCTCCGTAATGTGGAAGTTTTTGTTTGTTTGTTGTTTGTTTGTTTGTTTGTTTGTTTGTTTAAATAAAGAATCTGTTGTGGTAGGTAGCTGAATCTTACTCAGCCTGGGTCGGCCTTGAAGACAGGGTTCATATAGTTAATTTCTTACCTAATCTATTAGATTGGTTCATAAAAGATATTTTTATTGATTATTTTTTGTTTATTTTCCACCAGGCCCATTACAACAATGGTGACTACATCATCCGGCAGGGGGCGCGCGGAGACACCTTCTATATCATTGCCAAGGGCAAGGTCAGTAAGTTGTTAAAAGGATAGAGAGTAGATCGTCCCAAGTACATGCATAAGTATCTACCTTGATTGTTATCAGCGTTGTTCCTTCTACTCTTGGTGCTGCTGTTGTTTTTCCTTCTACTCTTCCTCCTCCTCCTCCTCCTCCTCCTCCTCCTCATCATCATCATCATCATCATCATCATCCTCATCATCATCATCATCATCATCATCATCATCATCATCACCGTCTCGTCATCTTTATCGTCATCATCATACTAATCTTCATCATCCCACTCATCCTCGTCGTACTCCTCCTCTTACTCCTCATCCATCATCACTGCTATCGAATTTTGTTCTCATTCACAACAATCATATTGTTCAGCATCGGTAAAGGCAGAAAAGAAAGGGGTGGGACAAGTGGGGGTGGGGTGCGGAAATTGGGGGCACTATGGTTGGTATTAATACGTTAATAGGGTATTCATTACACTTTTGGCAACGTAGAAGACAAGTAAAAAGGAGAAAAGGTCGTGTGTGTTCAAATAGTAACGTTGAGAAAGAGAGGGAGAGCGATATACATCGATAAGATATGTGTTTCCAACACATTGTGGAGTCAAGAAAGCAGCTGAGAAAAGCTGAGGCACAACCCAACGGTCTTTGAAAGTTGCGTAGATCGGATTGGAAGGTGAGGGTGCAGCGGTATGTGAACGGACGGGAGAGAAAGAGCGACAGCAAGAGACTGAGAGAGAGAGAGAAAGAGACACAGAGAGAG